AAATAGGGAAGATGAGGTAAGATAATGTCCATTAATGTCCATTCTTTCTCATGAAAAAGTAAAAAAAGATATGGTTTCTGAATTCTATATGCATCTAAAATATTGGTAATCTGAACATGATGTTTTGTCTTTTTAGAAATTGTTACGGGTCGGATGTATATGTGAAATATAAATCGTTTCGGCAGTTAGATTCTCATCTCTCGTGTCATATTTTAACAAATTATATCATTTTCATATTTTAACAGTAATATTATATTATATTATATAGTCAAATTATATCATTTTCATATTTTAACAGTAATATTGCCAGGCGGATTTTTTTTTTTTTTCTTTTGGATTAAATGTCGAAATGGAGTTGGAATGAGTTGATTTTCTATGGTTACGATTATAATTTTCTCATTTTAACACAAATATAAGAACATCTTTTTCCTTTTATTTCCTCGAACATATTCCCAATACACATCAAACGCTAGTATGATGCCGTATAGACTCAAAGTTTTAACTTTTAATTCTCTCTTCATTATTTTTTTTATTTTTATTTTTTTTAATTCATATATACATCAATTCAATCCATGTGTCTCATTCATAAAAATTGACATCGTTTGTAATTCTCCTTCAAGATCATCGTGAATGATGGTGACACTGCAACTATATTCATCAATTCCCTAGACAAAAAGGAATAATTTTAACCCAAAATTGAAATAAATCTTAAAGTCATTCAAGAGTGTATCTCCACGATAATGTTATAAATGTGACTTGTCTTACATTGGATTTAGATGATAGTTGAAGTGTGTATAAATGGATAGGTATGCAGTACCAAGAAAAAAACCTTAACAAAAAGTGGAAAGAAAAATAATTTTAATTTGGAATCTGAACTCTAATAATTTTCTTTTAGGCTTCGTGCACATGTAAAATAATTTGTCCAAAATTGATAGATAAGTTATTTTTGTTAAATTTTAATATTTTTTTTTTCCTAAATATTTTACGACAACCAAACACTAAAAAATAAATAAATATATTTTTTGAAAAATATTTTACGTCCAAACAAATGGAGCCTTAATTCTCTCTTCATTATTTTGAGCCCTTTTTTTTTTTTCTCAATTTTAATTCATATATACATCAATTCAATCCATGTGTCTCATTCATAAAAATTAACCTCGTTTGTAATTCTCCTTCAAGATCATTGTGAATGATGGTGACACTGCAACTATATTCGTCAATTCCCTAGACAAAAAGGAAGAATTTTAACCTTGAAATTGAAATAAATCTTAAAGCCATTTAATTGTCTATCTCCGCGGTAATATTATATTCACATCAAATTCGGTAATATTATATTCATATCAAATTTGGATAGGAGTTGAAGTGTGTATAACTGGGTGAGTATGCAGTACTACCCAACTGCTTGAATTTTTGTGTAAATATGCAATCGTCCATTCGTTATCGTTAGTATCAGAGCCTGGCACAGTCCGTAATTCGGTGTCACGTCAAGCATTCAAGTCCTACCCTAAGTAGGTAGGGTGGTCCGACCGCAACAAAGGAAAAACCTTAACAAAAAGTGAAAAGAAAATAATTTTAATTTGGAATCCGAACTCTAAAAATTTTAAAGAAAAATATTCCCTATACACATCAAACGCCAAGTTTTAACTTTTAATTATCTCTTCATTATTTTGAGTCTTTATTTTTTTTTTTTCAATTTTAATTCATATATACATCAATTCAATCCATGTGTCTCATTCATAAAAATTGACCTCATTTGTAATTCTCCTTCAAGATAATTGTGAATGATGGTGACACTGCAACTATATTCGTCAATTCCCTAGACAAAAAGGAAGAATTTTAACCCCGAAATTGAAATAAATCTTAATGTCATTCAATTGTCTATATTCAGGTAATGTTGCAAGTGGGATTTGTTCCATATTAAATTTAGATAAGAGTTAAAGTGTGTATAAATGGATTGGTACGTAGTACTACCCAATAGCTTGAGTTTTTGTGTAAATGGGCAATCGTCCATTCGTTATAGTTAATATCAGAGTTAGACCCAATTCTTAATTCGGTATCACGTCAAGCGTCCAGGTCCTACCCCGTGTAGGTATGGTGGCCCGGCCGCAACAAGAAAAAAACCTTAACAAAAAATTGAAAGAAAAATAATTTTAAATTGGAATCCAAACTCTAAAATTCAGGAAAAGATAGTTTAAATTTGATTCTTCTTTATTTCTAAATCCAATCAACTACTTTATTTTCTGAAAAGTTGTTATTTTTTATAATTTTATGAAAATAATAATTTATTTTCTTTGTCTTTTAAAATTATTTTTTGAATGACAAACGAAGTGGACCGATTAATTTTCACATTTCTTTTCCTATAAAATTGAAATAACACACCATTTGAGAGAAAAAAAAAAAATGTCAGCCAACCATGTGGAAGATGGGGATTAGAAAAATTGACAACCAAACACACCTCAACATATATATATATATATATATATATATATATATATATATATATATAAAAATCTCTTAGAAATTTGTACAAAAACTTATTTGATTGATAGTCTCTAAAAATTATTTTGTGAAAACTCAAAGATTGCTTAGTTTATAACTCTGAAAATAATTTTTAAAAATTTAGAGAATAGAAAATAATTTTCAGATAATAATAAAAGACAGTTCTCTGAGGCCTTTTTATAATAAAGTTTTCAAAAAATAGTTTTTAGAAAACTTAACCAAATAGAATTTTTTGTACAGGTTTTTGAAAACAGAAAACTGTTCTTAAAGTTACAAACCAAGATCGTCATTTACCAAAATGTTTAATTTTGAAATATATTTTCTATTTTTGAGTCTTTAAAATTTTTTTTTGAGTGACAAAAGAAACGGACCTTTTAATTTTCATATTTCATTTTTTTATAAATTTGAAATAACAGTCCAGAGAAAGATGGGGATTAGAAAAACTGACAACCAAACACCCCCCTCCTCATGAATCGTGATAAATATTCGAAAAAACAATTCACACACATTTAAAACATTGTTTCGGGAACAATTCATCGGCACCCCATCATAGAAATTAGTAACTTTAGGTGGATGTGTGACCTGGTCAGCTCACTTTTGTTCTCCAAATTGGAGGCCAACAACCACAAAGGTTTTATACTTTATTACCAAAATATAAATGTCCACCTAGACAATAACAATATTAATGTTCACCAAAGGACATTGGTCTTGTTTTTATATGTTGTCACATTGGTCCTATAATTGGTCCCGTTAGAGCATTTTTAATGCTAAAGTGTTAAATTCGAATGCCAAATCTATATTTTGACAGTGCTATAATGTCAAAATATTATATTTTAGCAATTCTGCTTTAATAGTATATTTCGTGAAAAATGTTATTTTTTGACACAATCACCTTTCTTTTTCAACTATCATTCCCACCATTTATATTTGCATCATTAATATTAATATTAAGCACATTCTAAGTCAAGTTGTAAACATTAGAAGGAAATTAAAATTAAACCTAATTAAAAAGAAGCAAAAATCTAAAATATCTTGTCAAAAAAAGATCAAAAACGAAAAAAAGAAAAAGAAAAAAAGAGATATAAAACAAAATTATATATATATTTTTAAAATTTTTGGAATTAGAATATGCATAACATTCTTTTTTATCAAAACCCCAATATGTAGTATTTAAGAATCCAACCTAAAATGTCAATAATATTTTTTATCCATTATCTGGAGTATTAATTATCTATTATACAAAGAGTGTTAATTCCATTTTACAACAACTTATTATGTATTAATGTAATGTGATTCACTGATGCATGTATATAATGAATTTATACAATAACACTACTGTAATAAGAATTGTGCCCAGCATATTCCTCCTCACACTGTCTAAAGAAGAAGAGTAAAGGAAGAAAGAAACAAGAAAAGTGCAACTTTAATAATTCTGCAAATGCATGGCATTACTTCACAAAAGTCCAACTTTAATTGGAGCCGCCCCTTTTTTCTTTAGGTCAGCCAATATAGCACTTGCTATTTGTTTTGCTATAATTGGCACAAAAAATGGCAAAGTTAAAAAATAGCAGCCCAAATAGCATTGCATTGGAGAGCCCAATTTCTAACCCACTTGTCATATTTTGAAATAGCAACCCATATAGAAGTGCATTGGAGATGCTCTTACATTTTGTAATTGTTAAGAGATTTGAGAGTTGAGAATCTAATAAATAAAACAATGACATGATATAGTGTTACGTCAATTGATACTTGACAATTTTTCTTCACCGTTTGTTGAATGTCGACAAGAACAAAATTATTGTTCGTATAAAAATTATCCATTTCTTTGTAAAACTTGATAATTACATAATTATAATTTATTAATTATACATTAGTGATTTGAACTTAAAGGGTCTTTATACTCAAAAGATTTTTTATTTTATTATTATTTATTTATTCATTTTTCAAGTACACATGCCTATATTTTTACTTAGACTTGATCAATCTCTCTTTAAAAAATAAGGGTTTAGAATCGTTGGCACACTGGCATTCAAATTCTAATCCTCTTAAACTTAGTAAATGAGTTGAAAAAATATATTGAGTGTGTCCGAAGTTCCGCGCACCGAACTCATTCGAACAAATTACTCCTCAAATTGAGAAATTATTATCTTGGTTTATTTGACACCTGATGGACTGATCTAATGAAAACCCTCCGATCATAAAATTTTATAATTTATTAATACATTTTTTTGAGATCATTTTTTTAATCTGAAAATTTGTATTTAACTAGTCCATTAAACGAGACGGGTGCCTCCAGCGCACCCAATTTTTTATTTTTCATTTTTATTTTTTTTGGGGAAGTTAGCGCACCCAATTTCTGCTATTCATGAATTGGAGAGTGTTTTAAAAGGTCAACACGATGACGATAAATAAATGGAGTCAATAAATAAGTGCTGGTGGGACCCATATTGTATACGGTCAGATACTCTGACTCTTGGAGTCTGGACCCCCAACTTTCTCTCATTTTTCTTTTCCCTCCATAATTGTTGAAAATCACGCACTAACAATCTCTCTCTCTCTTTGCCCTGAGCTGTACGCTGGTTTGGTAGCAGAATCAAATTCCATTCACCTAAAACAGCTCTCTCTCTCTCTCTCTAAAACTTGATCGATCTTTCACGAGTACTTTCTCTCTCTACCACTTCCGCGAGGTATGTACAATAGCTGACAATCCTATCTCCAATAAACTACAAATGTATGAAAATTCTTTTTATTTTTCTTATTCACTTGGTTTCTGTGTATAATTGTAATATTATTTCCATTTAATTGCATTTAGGTGTAGATCTGTCACTGAAACAATTGGATTCATATATAGAACAACTTAGCTTTAATGACTTTGTATCAAAGTTATGTTCAGATCTGTAAAGTCAATAATATAGCTGATTTATTAATGTCTTGGTTTATTTCTGTACTCTGCTATATGGTTTTGATGTGTCTGGATCCTTTGCTATAATGGATTCTCTGCTAATTAACGCAATTAAATCTGTTTTCAACACATTATATTGGGCCGAAGTAGGTAGATTTAATATAGGGCACTGCAGAGGATTTAACTAGTTTAGGACACTTTAGATGAGAAATTATTACATTGTCCCAGACAATCACCATTCGACATATGAGCAAAAAAGACAAAATAAAGTTTACACATATATGACACATTTGCTTAGGTGTCAAACGGTGATTGGCCCGGGACCGATGGTCCCAATGGCTCATGCTATATGATTTATTTCGTTCTCTTTTCTATTGACTTTGTTGATGATATAATAGGGTGTAAGAAATATTTTTATTATGATAATAATTATCTATGTTTCATGATATTTCATATTCTTACTTAACCAATCAGGTCAATGGGTGTGAGATTTTATATTTATTTTTCCATATTTGTCTATTAAGACCAGGTAAGGATAGTGCAATTTGTATGTTGTGAATATTCCATTATGATTAAGATCAAGTTTTGACCTGTTCAACTGGAGAAGAGGGCTACTGCAGCAATAGTGTCCATTATCTATTTGCATATATCCATGTGTGTTTGTGTAGATTAATCGGTTGGTGGATCAAGCAATTCGTTTCAGCGCGAAGCTAAAAAGAATAGATGGCATCAAACCTTTTAGGCAATTCAGCTGGATGATATTCTTAAGATGGCTAAGAAATGCATTAAGTTCTGTTTCAGTATTATGTCTTACTCTGTAGCTGTCTTGGAACTTGTTCACATTTGATAAATTATCTATCCTTGCCCCATCTCCAAACGTAGAGGCAAAACACGCGCACTTCAAGCTCTTGTCATGTCCTGTACTCCTGTTCTCCATCAAGCTTAAGATTATGATAGTTTCAGCATATTCTTTTGTACGTTGATTCACGAATGCATTGATTGTAAACAATTTGTATTTGGAAGAGCGAATTATAAAAATCACCTTCCAAGTTAGCATATTTGGGTATTGTTGCTTCTCCTTGAGCTTTGAACTTTGAGTTAGAAACCACTGAACAATATCATCTATGTGGTGCGCTAATTTTTTTCTTATACAAGCATGTATATTCTGATGTTTATGCTTGTAATGTTTTTGTTAGTTTGCTTATAAAATTTTCATGGAAAGGAAAAGGGTAATGCCCATTCTGTGCAGCAAAATTGTCGCTGTTACTACAAGGACTAAAATAAAGAATCGACACTTGAGATGGTCTGCAAACATTCTAGTTTACCTCTAACTGTACGAATAGGAAAATCTGACCAGAGGGCATGCCAGAAATATGTTAATATAGGAGTAAGTTAAGCAAGCTAACACCCAACTCACACGCACCTATTATTGCCCTAATGAGGACTTACCGTCAACATCCCATATGGAAAGAGGAGGAGATACCACTTGAGCTAAAGCTTGGTGATGGCAATAAACTACATTGAATAACTTAATCATTGGTGTATGTAAAGGACCTAAAGGTGATCACCGTGATGTGTGGTGGCTGGTAGAATCCAGATTCGATTCTGACTGACACGCTGATCCCTCTCCATTTTTGGGCACATTAGCAACTTATGTATAAACCGAAATCACCATTCTGAATTTTCCCAACCATCATGTTGTCACATACAAATCAAGTTAACTGCACTGTGTTGTTTATGGTGGGAAAACAAGTGACATATCGAATATTCCTAATCTTATACAACAAATAGAATTCTGTTAGAAAAATAAGCTCTGGAACTTCATAGGATGTCCCTTACAATTCTAGTATACACTTTTCAGAATTACTGAAAAACTTTCATTCCATTGAACATATGCTTAATTTCAACTGGGTTGCTATTTTGTTGTCCGTTAGCTCATTCCTTATAAATTTTGCTTTAGTGTACTTGATGTCTTGATGACGTATATAATATGTCTCTTATTTCTTAAATTATTTAATCATGGAGAGTTATCATATGACCAAATATGGAGTATCTTGCAACTTTTCAAATGTTCTTATTTTAAATATTCTTTGATGTAGGCTTTTCCTTTTTCCAATAAACAGTTGCCATGTTTCGGAGAAGACAATCTCAGAATCAGCAGGAGGATGATCCTTCACAACAGGTTGATAAGGTAATGAGAAGCTTGAATCGTGACATTACAAGGCAGGAATCTGTTAGATTGATATGTGTCTATTTTTATACATGCATGATATCGTGAAAAATTAAATGGACATTTGATACTTCTACAAGCAGATCAGGGAACTCAGGACTGCTCTTGGACCCTTATCCGGACGCTGCTTGCAATTTTGCACTGATGCATGCCTGAGGAGATACTTGGTAGCTCGAAACTGGAATGTTGGAAAATCAAAGAAAATGTTGGAAGAGACACTCAAGTGGAGATCAACCTATAAGCCAGAGGAAATCCGCTGGGTAAGTTAGTAGATGATGTGCACCCATTAGAAATATTTAAGTATATTACTGTTTGATTTTCATCTTTGTGTGTGTGTGTGTGTGTGTGTGTGTGTGTGTGTGTTTGTTGATCTTATTATCTTTCACATGAAGGAAATGCTATTTTATAAAGATTTATATAGATTTAATATTGATGAATATTCTGTTATCCTGTTTATACTTCACAATTTCTCCTTTTTTGAGATGTCAGGGAGCTTTTACAGCACTAGTTATGTAAATAAGACCATAAATTGTTATTAATACAAAGAACAAGAGACCATATGCTACATGTGAAAACACCCTAATCATCCTTCTTAGAAAGAGTAAAAACAATTAACATTTTAGTGGTGTTTGTATGCTCGAAATAAAAACTTGTTTAATTAGTGCTTTTGTTTGGTGTCATATTTAAGCAGTTCGCGATGTCAGACAGTCATAGAAGTTCTCTTAGTTAAGTTATATTTTGCAAGCAGCAACTTTGAACCAAAAGCAATTGAAAAAGTTTACATGAATGTCACGTATTTTTGGCAAAATTAATGCATGAGCAGCATTCAAACAAACAAAATAGTGTCTGTATCATTATGTAAAACACAGCATACCTGAAACAATAAGCATATTTCAGACGTTATTGAAATATAATCCTAATTCTTCTCAAGCTATATAAACAAAAGTATTTGCACGACTATTTGTGGCAGCCATTTGACCTAAAATCTCCTTCTAAACAAAATGAATTTTATAAACAAGGCCTCATCTATCTATTTGATGAAGCCCCATTTCTAGATGAATTTAAACTTCTTAGTTCTTACTTATCTGTTCAAAAGTCAACAATTAAGTGTTAAAAGATGGAATTTTGAAAAGAAACTCATATATATATAGTAACTTCGTGACTTAACATATAGCCTCTACTGAATTTTCTTTCATAATTAGTTTAAGGTGCTAAATATTAGAAACAACAACCCCCCTTTTTTTTCCCAATAAATTGTGTCATTTTGCTTACATTCATATCTTGGTTCATGAGCATGTTCACCATCTTATAAGTTCCTGTACCTATATGCCCCTGATGGTGTAGAATTTTGTTTGGATCAATCTTTGTCTGTCTAAAATCTAAATGACATCCCATTTTTTTTAACATAACATTTAATAGCAGTCAGTGCTGGATATCTCATCTGTTCTCGAATAGCTTAAAGTTAAGATGATATTCTGAATTGTCTGAGAGTTTTGTTGAAACTGTGACATCACTGTTGCATTGAAAATATCATTTTTTTTTTTTCTTCTTTTCCCCGCAGTCAAAAATATCAGTACCTGCATTATGTTTTTTGCATCCAGTATGATATTATTATTATATTTGGGGTTATGATCTGATTCACAATCTGATCATCTCCTGTAAGTCTTCTCTAATGCGCAACTTGTACCATTTATCAGCATGAAGTAGCACATGAAGGTGAGACTGGCAAAGTGTCCAGAGCAAATTTTCATGATCTACTTGGGAGGTCTGTCCTTATAATGAGGCCAGGAAAGCAGGTTTGTGCTCGGACTTTCTCCCCTTTGTCTGCGTTCTGTTAGCTCGTGTAAATTTACCCATTGCTCTGTCTTTTGGTTGCAGAACACCACATCAGCAGAAAATAATATCCGTCATCTAGTCTATCTCATAGAGAATGCTATCCTTAACCTCCCGGAGGGTCAAGAAAAAATGTCATGGCTTATAGACTTCACTGGATGGTCACTGAACACTAACGTCCCCATTAAAACAGCCCGAGACATTGCTTACATTTTACAGAATCACTACCCCGAGAGACTTGCCATAATAGTTCTCTATAATCCACCACGAATTTTTCAGGCATTTTGGAAGGTCTGAGCTCCTGCCCTTGTGCTGGTCTTAGTGGTCATTAGTTACAGTGATATTTTTGGCAATTCTATTCAGATCTACACACAATACTTCATATCATGTTTTGTTTTCCTTTGAACTGAATTTAAGTTCTACTTGTTCTATTCTTTTAAGCTTTTCTTTCTTAATAACCTCAATAGTAGTTTTTGATCTCCATCTGCTGTGATACTTCTAAATCTCAAGTAATCGTAGTAAAATTTATCCTCTTGGTGCGCTGAACATGTTTATCTTCATAAATATTCAAGTGCCATTATCAACTCTATTAGTTCGTTTTTTCAAACCCGAGCTTCCTTTTTCTTACTCCAAAACTTGTTTCGATTTCTGTTTTTCTTCTATTTCTTTTAATACTCTCTCTCTCAATTTGAACCTTAGATTTAATATTGAAGCAGGGGATATGAAAACTCATTTTAGATCAAATTCCTCAGGGATGTGGCATGACTATAAATTGTTGTAGGTGCATTGATCATATTTCTAGCAGCTTTTTTTCTTTTTCTTTTTCTTTTTTTCCCGGGAAGGGTAATTCTAGCAGCTTTTATATATCTATTAATGACAAACTTGCGCTACTGCCAAATCTGCAGGTTGTGAAGCTTTTTTTGGACCCAAAAACATTTCAGAAGATCAAGTTTGTTTACCCAAATAACAAAGAGAGTGAGGAGATCATGAGGTCCTTTTTTGATGTTGAAAACCTTCCGAGTGAGTTTGGAGGAACAGGCAGCTTGAAATATGATCATGAAGAGTTTTCCAGATTGATGGCCCAGGATGATGTCAAAACCGCTAAATTCTGGGGATTCGACGATAGTAAGCCTTGCCATGCTATGAATGGCTACTCGGGAGCAGAGGTGGCTCCAGAACCGGTGAGTCTGCACCACCTGCAAGCTGAGTCAGACAAAAATGCCCATGAGTATGTAAAAACCTAAAGGAATGTCGAACAGTGAGCTGACAGAGTTAGCTAATACGTGTATCGAATCTACTGATGAGAAGTGGAAATGATTTTCCCGCGCTCTTTGAAATGAATAAGCGTTAATATGCTGCACCTTGCGGCTGAGCAAAGTTATCTTCCTCTCCATATGCCATTATTTTCAGTGTGTTTCTCAACTTCAAATGACCAAACTTGAATGATTTACTCCTTGTTCCATTGTCAAATTTTGAAATGTTTTTTTTTTTTTTTTTTTTTTTTTGGGGTTCATTTGAATGGTTAAAATCATTCACTATCAACACCACCTATATATCACGAACATTCTCCCATTCTGCAACACTCCTTACTCTTTATGTCTTTCACCATTTCACTCCCTACCACATCCCCCATGCATTGCTAGGGCACCGAATCGGCGCCTTGGATTTGAGATTGAAGAAAATTCAATACAAATTTTGAACTAAATTTCATTTAATTCCAAATTCAAGGCACCAACACGATATTCCAAACATAACATAAGTTGACTTGAAATTGGATTGTTGGAGCTAAGCTTATTTAATTTTTCTAATTAGTTTATTTACAAGCAAACTTATTAGTCTCATCCTAAGTCACATAATACGAAAGCAAGAGCGTAAATTCTAAAATTAGTTGTGAGCGGGAGTAACTGTAAATAATATATTTTGTAATATGACTATTTTATTAATTTACTAAATATTTTTTTCAAAAGGATTGAGGCCCAACCTTGAAATAAAGAACATAACCCATATATATAATTTTAGTCCAAGTCCACTTATATTGATATGAGCCCAATTAGTACATTCCTATTTGAAAGCCCAATATTTCAAATTAAATCCATTTAGTTAAGTAATAAAATTGCCCCAATTCATGATTTTATCTCAACTCTTAGATCAATTTCGTAACCTGTTAAAAGAATTACCAAAAAAACCCTAACAGCAGCTGCAGGGTCACTTTACCATTTCAGCGGCATGGAACCCTATACAAATTTTCCTTTAGGCTTTCTCATTCATTTCGTCCCAGAGATACAAACCCTCTATTTCGTCTGCTGCTCGAAGATTGAGACGAACATAATTTCATCAATGCGATAGCTATGTAAATCTATGTACACACACACACACACACATATATATGTATGTATTATCTCTTTAGACTTCATCTTCTGCCTTCTTCTTTACAAAAGTCAAATTTTAAAATTGAGTTCGCGGATTCTAAATTTGAGTTTGCAAACTCAAAAAACCAAGTTCGCAAATTTGGGACGAATTCGCTCCCAAATCGTCAAACCGTGTGTGGAGCCATCCACGCGAATTATACAACGTAGGTCTCATCACACTATAGTACCTTCTTTCTATGAAATTTGTATTAAATATATAATATAATCTCATATAAAACACTTCAAAAATCACATTAGTACAATTATACTTATAAATTTTTTTAAAAATGAAACATACATACAGGATTTAATGTTCACGAGTTGAGCCAAATTTTAATTAAAATTAAACTTGTTTATTAAAAGAGTTTAAAAATTAAATTAGAATTCGACTTGTTTGAAATGAATAAGCGTTAATATTTTTTTCAAAAGGATTGAGGCCCAACCTTGAAGTAAAGAACATAACCCACATATATAATTTTAGTCCAAGTCCACTTATATTGATATGAGCCCAATTAGTACATTCCTATTTGGAAGCCCAATATATCAAATTAAATCCATTTAGTTAAGTAACAAAATTGGCCCAATTCATGATTTTATCTCAACCCTGTATCAATTTCATAACATGTTATGAGATTACCAAATAAACCCCAACGGCAGCCGCAGGGTCACTTTACCATTTCAGCGGCATGAAACCCTAAACAAATTTCCCTTTAGGCTTTCTCATTCATTTCGTCCCAGAGATACAGACCCTCTATTTCGTCTACCGCACGGAGATTGAGACGAACATAATTTCATCAACGCTATAATTATGTAAATCTATATACGTATATATGTATATATCTCTTCGGATTTCATCTTCTCCCTTCGTCTTTACAAAAGCCGAATTCTAAAACTGAGTTCGCAAACTTAAAAAACCGAGTTCGCAAATTTGGGGCGAATTCACTCCCAAATCGTCACACACGCCAAATCGTCAAACTGTGAATGTGCGTTTTGCATGTTACCTAAGGTTGAAACAACCCTATAATCTAGTAAAATTCTTTTTAGTGTGCAACTCTAGAGCGGTAGTCGTCCACGCGAATTATGTGACTTAGGTCTCATCCATGTAGTCCCTTCCTTTCATGAAATTTGTATTAAATATATAATATAATGTAATATAAAACACTTCAAAAATCACATAAGTACAATTGTACTTGTAATTTTTTAAAAAAATGAAACATACATAAAGGATTTAATATTCACAAGTTGAGCCAAATGTTAATTAAAATCAAACTTGTTTATTAAAAGAGTTTAAAAATAAAATTAGAATTGGACTTGTTTGTTTAACAAATAAGTTTGAATTGAACTTTAATAAGCCCGAGCAATGTACTCTTACCATTGGATTCTACTGTCAGCACCACCGATCACTCTACTCTCTCCCACTGGACTTTCTCTAATACTTCATATGAACTTTGAGTGCCCATTTAAAATCTGACTTGTGGGAAGGAAAAAAATGTCATATATGTTGTTCACGAGTAAGAAATTAATTTCTCCAGTGACAGTTAGATATTTGGTGTGTGTATAAATATACAGAGTATATATATATATATTACAATGCAGAAATGAAGGATGCATTGTTTATCCTCTCTTTCTCTTTCTTTTTCATTTCATTTTCCCCCTCACCAAATGCGAAAGAGCTCTCCACTCCTTCACCTTTTTTCCACCTCCCCATTCCTTCTTCATTTATAACCAATTTAATAACTAAAATGATGAATAAATTTTAAGAAAATTTTCCAGAGTAAAAAATCATAATTAAATAAAAAAAGGGTAAAAAAATCAAGAGATTTAAGTCTGAATCATTGGAAAACCGTGGCTTGCGCCTTTAATTTGGGAAAACAAAATTTTCGTGGAATCCAAACACCATTCAAACACATATCACCATCCTCAGTCACAGTCACTGTTATCTGACCACACCATTCAAACTCTTCCCCTTCTTCCTCGCAAAACGATACACAACCACACCAACCCTAGCCCCATTCGTCGGATCATCTGAATGTATTACCTCAACATCGAACAACTTCTTCGCCTTCTTGAAGAACACCGATTCCTTCTTCCACCTCCTCAGATGACCCATCACAAACACCACCTCCTCTTCACCCTCCACCAACAAAAACCCTAGGGTTTTAATCAGAGGATCGAACAGGTGTTCGTGATACACCACGTCCGACCCCAATATCAGATCGAACTCTCTCCCCACGCGTTCCATCTGATCCGCCTCTCCCCACCCCAGCGCCGCCACCTCCACCGCCCCGCCGTGCCGCGCCAGGACGTCCGCGTTCGCGTCCGCGTTGAACCGGAGGTTCGGGAGCACGTGCGTGAGGTCCGTCACGGTGACGTCGGCGCCGAGTATGGCGGCGGCGGAGATCCCGACGAGGCCTGTGCCGGAGCCGAGCTCGAGGATGCGGAGGCGGCGGCGGCGGCCTTGGCCGCCTAAGGAGGTGAGGGGGCCGGAGCTAGGGTCGGCGCGGTGGCGGTCGAGGAGGGAGACGAGAGTGGTGGCGGCGGGCCAGAGCTGGAAGGAAATTCCTTGTGATTTGATTTGTCTGATCAGGACCGTTGATTGAATCGAATGGATGTAATGGTGCTGGAGCTGCTGATTTGGTGCATCCGATTGTAGAGTAGATGATGGTTCTGTGTGATCGTCTTGGTCGTCTGGTATTAAGAGCATAGTGAAGGGGTTGATGTCAACGTCGTCGTCTTCAACGGCCATAACAAACGCCGCTTTGAGGGCTTCGCTGTTTTGAGAAAGTAGTTAGTCAGTTAGGGTTTCGTTATTTATAACTGAGCTACTAGTAATATTTTGCTGCTACCGGATGACGTGGGGTCCATTTTTCATTTTTGCTTACTTGGTTTAGGTAGGGAGTCACACAATCGGAGTCTTGGAACGTAGTTTCGCAATTCAAAATTTTATTATTTATAATTTAATTATGTTATTTTCATATTATTGTTACTGCTTTTTAGGTTCTGGTAGCATGATTATTATCGTAATTATGTAATGAACAATATGAATATTATTCTGTCTAAATTATGTTTATCCCAGATTCAATTATGGGTTTATCCCAGATTCAATTATGGGTCGTCCAAAAGTCGCGTTGAAATGTTTAAACCCGTTTTTGCATTAGATTGCTGCACAGGGTATTGTTCCCAGTAAATCGTTGACAGACGAGTAATAGAATCTCTCTTAAGCAGAAAGACGACAGAATAGTAACTTACTGTTCACTATATAATATTATAATATTTATACTATGCAGACCTTAAAGCATTAACAATAATTAACAGACATGTTACAACCATCTTCTTCCTCCTCTTCAGGAATACAGGAAAACCAGGATTCAGAACTGGTAAAAAATACGGAAGTAGTGGAATGGACCAATGTTCAAAATAAATTGAACAGATGGACTATCCCTCCAGTAAGTGCAAAAAGCATTTACAAAATCGGAATGCTTAATTTAACTGATCTATGGACTATCAAGACCATGGAACAGACCATGCAATTAAGCACTAAGGATACAATAATTAAGTTATTGTCTTCTCGTGACCTTCAGAGGCACATGCATAAATATAAGTACATCCATATAGGTTTAATTCAAATTGCTTTTAAACCTTTAACCTTGTTAGGTATGGATGCTTGTATTCAAGCAACCCTTAGGGATGCTCGATGTCTGAAATTTCACCCTTCCTTGATGGGTGCACTGGAAACCAGTCTATGTCATGGACCGGTTTATTTTAATGTCTATCCTAGTCTGAATTTATCTTTGACAGATAAAAATATCCATGAGGCAGTTAGTCTTAGGGTTCAGATTTAAGGGTATGATTACTTACCTGGATCGGAAGTGATAAGTGTTATTTATCGCATCCATTACAAAGTACTTGATACTATGTGTCCCAATGCCATACACAAAGACTCTAAAGGAGTAACAGCGTTATGGGATACCAACATGTACACATCAAATGTTGCCACAAAAAGGATGATTCCTTGGAGTGAGATAACATTTCCTGAACACTGGACGATTTCTAATGCCGTTCCAGCACAGCCAATTGCTAATCATAGCTTAGACTGTGTTATTCAGGACCAAGATGGTGATGTTTTTCTGAATTTCAGAAAATCCATTGATCTATCCAGATCTACATCATCTAAAGGAAGTCATCTTCCTTATCATGTTTCTTGTCCTCCTTCTCGACATTCGATCTCGTCGGATTACTGAAAGGAAGAACTCCCTGAAGCAGTTGGTTCCAAACTCAAGCTGAAAGGAATACAGCAATCTCAGAATCAAATTCCAAGAGGAGTCTACGAGAAAGCACCAGCACCAATAGGTATGTCTTGTCGCCAATTCGGAATTGAATTCAGCCCAACTCCATCTGAAATTGGAATCGGAAATGAATCTGTCAAGGATCAATTTGATGATCCTCCAGACATAAATGACCCTCATGAATATTAGTTTTAATGGATTTTGTCCCTGATAGAATTGCCATTAATACTGAATTTCAACAGGATCAATATAAAGAATTCAGAAATTGGTATTTTAAAGTTTTTGACCAAAATCAATTACAGCTTTTTAAAACCCAATTTTATGAATTTCTACAAGAACGCAAAATGGTTGGCAAAGGTTCTCCAACTCAATGATGCCAATCATGAGCATTGGAAGGCAAAATTTGTGGATGGTTTACCAACCTTTTTTGCCGAAAGAATCAGGAAAAAGCTTAGAGATATGAATAATGGTATCTCTATCCCTTACAGAAACTATACCTATGGTGGGCTCGTCAACATTGTAATCCAGGAAGGTCTAGCTCTCTGTAATGATCTGAAATTACAATCCCAGTTAAAATCACAAAGATTAACTGGTCGAAAGGAAGTAGGTGAATTTTGTGATCAATTTGCCTACCAGACTCCCTTATCTTATCCTAAACCTAGGAAAAGAAATAAGGTTGAAAAACCTTATAAAAGGAAGTATTCTCAAAGAAAGAATTATTCAAAAGAAAAGGATAATTCTAAACAGTATACTAAGCCTAAAAGGAAATATATTCCTAAAACAAAGGGTAAAGGAAAACCCAAAGCTGAGGCTAAATGTTTCAAATGTGGACGTATCGGCCACTATGCGAACAAGTGCAGAACTAAGGAGAAACTCAGTAGTCTTCATATCGAAGAAGAACTGAGACTTCAATTAAGTAAATTGTTACTTAATACTAGTTCTTCTGAATCAGAATCATCAAGTGATTATGGGGATGTTGTCATGGAATTACAGTCTTCTTCTTCCTCTGAAGCAGAGATTGAAAACCTAGATGTTCCTGTAATCCCTCGCATGATGATTATTATAAGGCAATTGTTGAGATGAATGGGTTAAGCTTAAATGTTTTGACTTCGACTCAACAATCCTTATTGGATCTTATAGATCATATCCAGGATCCTCAAGTCAAGATGAAAGTCTTTGAAATAGGTTCTGCTCTGGCACGATCTAATGAGGATACGGATAATCCAGATTTTCTGAGAGCAGAAAATCATTACAGCATGAAAGAAGTTCTAAGCAGATTAGAACACCAAGGACAAAATTCTTGTCCTGCTAATCTCCCTGATCTCAGAATGGAGATTAATCTTTTAAAAGAAGAAATTCGTCAATTAAAGTCTCGTCAGACTAAGATGGATTTGGAACTTACTCTTTTAAAAACAAAATCTGCAATTCCATCTTCATCATCCAATGATGAAGTCCCTCAATCAGAAGGTACTAATTATCTCCAACTCTTGAATAAATGGTATATATCTATCAATTTGGTAATTAATCAGGAGTATACAATCACTAATGCAATTGCCTTAGTTGATAGTGGTGCCGACATGAACTGCATACAGGAAGGATTGGTTCCTACTCAATACTTTGAGAAAACCACTCAAGGTCTTACCAGTGTAAGTGGAGGTAAGATGCAGATTAAGTATAAACTTAATCATGTTTTCATTTGCAAAGAAGGAGTTTGTTTACCATCTACTTTCTTACTCATCAGGAATATGGCACAACAAGTTATTTTGGGCACTCCCTTTTTAGCTTTGATTATGCCAATTGGGAAAATTGATTCTCATAGAATATGCTCTAATTTACATGGCCAGTCAATTACTTTCCAGTTCTTGACCCCATCAGTAAACAAGCATATCAATGCTCTTAAAGATAACATTATCTTTAAGGAAAAGCAACTGAATTATTTGCAAAAGGAGGTATCCTCCTTAGCAATTAATCAAAGATTGGTACAACCCACTGAGCAACGGAAAATTGAGTCACTACGACAAAACTTTCTAAAGGAAATCTGTAGTGAAATTCCTAATGCTTTTTGGGCCAGAAAGAAGCATATTGTTTATTTACCCTATGAAAAGGGATTTACCGATCGCATGATTCCTTCTAAAGCTAGTCCTAGCCACATGAAAGCTGACTACTTGGAATTATGTAAAACTGAAATCAGCTCTTTAATAGCTAAAAAGCTTGTCACCACGAGCTACTCCCCCTAGAGTTGCAGAGCTTTTTATGTTAATAAAAATGCTGAAAAAGAACGAGGAATTCCTCGATTGGTTATTGATTATCGGCCGCTCAATCTTGCTTTGAGTTGGATCCGGTATCCAATTCCCAACATCAAAGATCTTTTAGATAGATTACAATCTGCTGTAATCTTTTCTAAATTTGATCTTAAATCTGGATATTACCAGGTACAGATTGCAGAAAAAGACAGGTACAAAACAGCTTTTTGTGTACCTTTTGGACAGTATGAATGGACAGTGATGCCATTTGGATTAAAAAATGCCCCTTCAGAATTTCAACATATTTTGAATGACATATTTAATCCTTTTACTGAATTTTCTATTGTTTATATTGATGATATTCTCATATTTTCAAAATCCATAGATCAGCATTATAAACACTTGAAAATTTTCAAAGATGTCATTTACCGTAGTGGTTTAGTGGTTTCTGCTCCTAAACTAAAACTGTTTTTAACTAAGGTCAGATTTCTTGGACATGAAATTTGTGATGGGAAAATTAAACCTATTAATCGCAGTATTGAGTTTGCTTCTAAATTTCCAGATGAAATTAAGGATAAAACTCAGCTTCAAAGATTTCTGGGTAGCTTGAATTATATTCGAAATCACTACAGAGATCTTGCACAGGACACAGCAATTTTGTACACCAGGTTAAGGAAATCTCCTTCCCCATGGACTTTGGAACACACCAAGGCAATCCAGAAGATTAAACTCAGAGCCAAACAAATTCCTTGCTTAGCTCTAGCCAATTCTTCATGGTTCAAAATTGTGGAAACAGATGCCTCCAATATTGGATACGGTGGTATTCTTAAACAGAAAAATCCAAATACAGGAACAGAGGAGCTTGTTCGCTTCACTTCAGGAACTTGGAAAAATGCACAATTAAATTATTCAACCATCAAAAAGGAAATTCTTTTCTTTGGTTAAATGCATTTATAAATTCCAAGATGATTTAATCAATCAGAAATTCTTGTTACGCATTGATTGTAGTGCGGCTAAACAAGTACTGGAAAAAGATGTAAAGAATTTAGTGTCCAAACAGATATTTGCTGGTTGGCAAGCTGATTTATCTGCTTTTGATTTTTCTATTGAATATATTAAAGGCAGTTCTAATTCTTTACCTGATTTTCTAACTCGTGAATTTTTGCAGGGTTCATGAATCCGCCCCCCCATGGGCAGGGCCGGGGTAATACTCCAAAGGCTCGTGGCAAAAACAAGGCTAAGGCCAAAGTGGTTATACCACTCACTGATGATCAATTTCCATATTTGGAACATGTTGCTGATCTGCTCAACACACCTTCTAAAGGAAGCAGCAGTTCCCAGCAAAAACAACAGAAACCAACCATGAAAGAGGTTCTTGAACAAGAAACTCCATGGATACCTAATCAAAGGTATATTCAAACAGTACTGACACTGGATTCTCAAGATGAGCAATGGATGCCAGATCCTCGGGAAGTAAAATCCAGATATTTCCAAACTCAACAATATGCTGCACCGGATGGTCGCCATAGATATATCTATGAAGCCATTCTTACTGAAACTTCCTCTGTGGAGATCAACCACACGAAGCAATTTCCGAATTCCAAAGATAGTCCTCTTACTTATAGTAAAGCTATCTTTAAGAGGCTTATACGGCCTAGTGACTGGGGATTAAATCCCAATTTGCCAAGGAAAATATCCTATGGTCACAGTTATAATTATTGGGATTATATCTCAGCTTGGACATATTCGTTCTTTATCAAAATCCGAAGCATAAGCATTCTTGGTTCTTCAAGATATGCCCTCAATCAGTTAAGGCTGATTTCCCCAACTGGGTTATACCCTGGTGGGCTATATTTGGCCCTGATCTGGATATGTTGCCCGAATCTATCAGCCAATTATACTTACCATGGCAACAATTTCATCCTCAATTACGAGGGCAGGATAATATTCCTGTAGGGAAATCCACCCTATTGTTCTTTACTGAATTTGGAATCCCTTGGATTTGGAAATGGGATTTCCAATGTGGTTATACCACTGATAAGTTACCAGTCCTCCAGAGGATCTTTTATTACCAATGGTGGTCAGGCATGACTCAATAACCTATCCAAGCCCTTCTCCATCAGATCAGAAAGAAAACACTGGAATACATGGATAAGATTCCAAAGTTAACTATTCCAGAACCCGAAATCTTTAACCCATTTGAACTTGTTAAAGATATGATCAGAAAACAACAACCATTAATTACCGAAGCTGATTTAATGGTTAAATACATGGATTTTATGAGGACCAAATTTGTTAAATCATTTGATTCCTCCACTCCTACAGTACGAGATGATGCATCCATGGTGTCAGTCTCTAGCCAGGCCAGTCAAGACGGTAATCAGTTTTCCTGTCTAGCCGGTTATGCACAAGATCCCAATAAAGATCTTATTTCTGAAGATGAGCCTACAGTAGCAGACTATTGGGACTCTCTCACCAGTCACTTGATGGACAAGATGAATCCACCCAAAAAGTAAAGATTCCTTTTATCCGGCCGACAGAAGCAGCCAAAGAACTTTTCCCAAAAAGTCTTTGGTTCTACAGTATGTCCTTCATCAGATATCTACTTTCCATCCGATAAGGAGACAGAATTTAGTGGTGGGCCGACCGACTGCAGTAGTTTAGCACACGATCCCATACACTATGCGGACTTCAAAATGATAATTTCAAGTCCATTTTTTGTATAAATAGAGGGCAAAGTTTCCCATCAATGTATCTTTTAATTTCATTTCCTCTCTTTTGTAATATTTCTCTGTATTAGCTTGGAAGTTTAATAAAGAAAGTTTTCTGTAAGTCTGTTCAACTCTTGTTTTAATCTTATATTATCGATCTTGCTTAGTATCTTTATATCGATCCACAGATATAATTTGGTTTTGTGTTTTGAAACTCAAAATTATTATTGAAGAATGGAGATGGTTCGAGTTAATTCACGTAATTCTTTTCAATGATAGCTTTGTGTTTTTTTTTTTTTTTTTTTTTTTTTTTTTTTTTTTTTTTTTGTCTCAAGTTTCAAGTGTATTTGTAGTCTTAATTTTTAGTACGTGACTTATTGATTTTCTTTTTCTTTTTTTTTTTTTGATATTTACGCTTTTAAATTTACTCTCATTCCCATTCTCAGACTTATCTCTCAAGTATATATTTATTATTCGATTGATATTGTGCAATAAAAAAAAATGCGGTTGTTATTGTGCAAAGTAAACAGTTTACCATCAATCTGTTTAATCATAATACATTTTAAAACAATGAAATAATAGAAGGTTTAACAATATTAATTTTTGAGCAAATTCAAGAATACTGGTTTAATTGGTGAAAGAGCAAAAGTTTATGATGGTGTTTTCATTCAAAATTGTGAAATAGAAAAGAAAATCATGCATAAATATCGAGGGTATTTCATTCAAAATTCTGAAACATAAAATAAAAGAAAAAATATGCGAGAATAATAGTTCACGAAATTGAAATGTGAATGATGAAAATTTGAAACAAAGTTGGAGTTACACTTCAAAGTTATTTTACCACGATAGTTATTATATTTCACCAATCATTTATTTTGAATATCACAAATATTAGTAAATACTTCACCCTGATGGTATACATACTTAATAAAATTACCAATATTAATGAGTTATTTTATTATAATAGTTATGTCATCTCACACATGTTGCTAACAGGCACGGATCCAATTAGGGACCAGTGGGGCAGAATTTTTTTTATTTACATTATTAGTTATATATTTTGTTACAATTTTAAAAATGCCTCCATTTAATATTACGCTTAATATTCTAGCCTCCACTCAATATTATGTGCTTGACATTCTTACCCCCACTGTTTATTTAATCCGAAATATAATTGTCTGTCCTTTTCACTCTCTACCGTCCTTGCATTTGTGATAATTAATTCTATTTCACACTCTCATATTCCCACTCAATTTTTTTGAAAATACCCACTAAATATTCATGCATCTATTAATATTAATAGTAAATAATAAAGTAAAATAAATTGTCTCTCTTATTAGACACGATTGAAAGGTCAAAAAAATCTAGTTCTCACACCGATGGACAAGACACAAAAAAATTGAATTCTTATATTTGTTTTTTCATTCTAAAAATATTTTTCTCCAAATTTTTTAATTCTTCAACCCGCCCCCCTCAAAAAATATTTCTGGTCCGTCACTGGTTGGTGACCCTTTTTTTCGGTATTTTTTCTTCCTTTCTATTATCTCACTTATCTTGTTTTAGGTTTATATCAAAGCTTAGGCAAAAATAAGAAGATTAGATTAGAGATAAAAACAGCCGTCACTAGGTCTACACAAAAATATGATGCTTTTGTCCGATTAATATTGGTCAAAATGGTCATTTAGTATATTAATAGGGCCATTTAAATTATTTTACTTTACTTAAGAATAATTGTGATATTTAAAAATTATATCATAGACAAACTTTACCTCTAACTGACTTTAGGAATTATATCATAGACAAACTTTACCTCTAACTGACTTTAGGACCTGGTGGAGTGGTTATCCTAAACATCTAGAGAGATTAGTTATATTTTTTCAGATAGTTTGATCGGGATAATTTGGACAATCTCATGAAAGGTTAAAGGTAATTTAGTTAATGCATATTTATGCGCATTTGTACCTTTTAAGACGGGTTTTCGATATATGCATGGTCTTTCTTTTAAAATTATTAAATTAACTTTTTGTTAAAGGTAATAACTCCAGGCCAACCAAAATTGGACTAGTAGAAACCATCAACCAATAGATAGCAAACAGCCACACACCGAGGCAACTGAGCCACACATGGCACAGAGATTCGAATCATAGTTGAAATTCAAAAAATGGAAAGGATGAAGACATTAAATCACGAGTAATAGTCGGGATGTTATAAATTTGGGTGAATATTAGTATAAATTGATCGAATTAACAGGTTTATAACCAAATTTTTCGCAACAAATCAAGAATAAAATCGAAAAAAAATAAATTGAGAGTAGTTAGCTACGGGCTTTATAAGTTCATTGTATAAATAGAAGAAACCAAAACACAATTGGGAGAATGGAACTGGTCAATTATTGAACTTCCAAAGCTAAAAGCCAAAGCAATGATAATTTTTCTTGTTCATTCACGAGTGTTTGTGTAAATTTCTTGTTTTTTGCCCACACACTTTTCAAGTTTCAAAATACTAAAAGTCATGGAATGGTAAATATAGACTTTTGTGGAAATATTGTTTATCCTCATGTACCGCTTTTGAGCACATAGAACTTTTTATGTGCACAAAAAGTTATACTTAATGACAAAAAGTGGTGCATGCATACACACAAAAAGTGATCCTCTATACCCAAAATAAAAGTGAAACCTGATGCACAAAAAGTGGTATCTCCCTTCACAAAAAGTGATACCATTGAGGGTAAACAGTGTTTCTCTATATCCATGTCAATATTTTGGCCAATTTTATTTTTTTGAAACTATGAGACTTTAACTTCATTAAATAATAAATATGAGTCATTAGCACCATTTATTTGTAATAATCCCATACATACATACATATATATATATATATATATATATAAATTCATAGATTAATTAATAAGTGAAAATCTATTTAGTTTACATATGATATTCATTTATATAAAGTCCAGAAAAATACAATGAATTAATTAGTTTTACATGAGATCCACTTAATATAAGGCCCAAACATATAATGGACTCAAACAAATTAAGAATTTAAGACAGCCCAAAGGCAAGCCCAAACTGTGAAGCCCATCTATACAAATATAATAACCTCTCATCTGCGTCTTTTCTATCAGAAAACGCCTCTCTCTCTTCTCTCCATCTCACAACCGTCGCCGGACAAACCACCACTTCTCAAGCACACGACGACCATAGCAACGTCAAGAGCCCCCAATCAATTGACGATCACAGCAGCCCATATTCTCTCTCATCTGATCTGTTCTCTTGATATTGGCTTGAAGCCTTGAATGAAGTCTAAGATCGATGGGTATGATACACTTGGATAGTTGGATTCGTAATCATAGCCCTAAATTCCCCTCTTTCCACCGTGCCACTGCGCTCTCTCTCTCTCTCTAAGGTATGCTCTCTTCAACTTTTACTCATTCACTCTCTCCGTCTATATGTTGTTCTAATTTCGTGTGTATATACACATATATATATATATATATATATATATATATGTATATATATCATATATGTCTGTTTTGTTGCGATTGGATTTTGTTTAACTTGTTAGTCTATACTACAATTATTAATTCAGATTATCAAGTTTGAGTTCTTTTGATTTCTCAGATTATAATGTGTGAGTTTTTCAATGGCTGATTTGAGCATTCCTCTTTTGGAAGTAGTAGTAGTGATGGTTCATCTCTAGGCATTATATGATATTTAGACGGGTTGATTCAGTCCCTTTCAAGCTTGTTTATTTCTGATTCCCATCAATTAAAGACTTATAATGTGATTTTGCTATTTTTGGTGCATATAAGGCTGTTGTTGTCTCTCTCCCTCTATCAACTCGTGGTATGAAAATCCATTCAACTTATAAAGGAGATTATGCTTTTTAGAGACAACTTATAGTATTAACAATAATTGAACAAATCTTAAACTTGGCAAATGAACTAACATCACTCACTCCACTGTACAAACCCTTAACTTATAAGAACTACTAGGAATTGGAGCAACTGATTTTTAAGTATGGAAAAAGGATCCTGAGATCTTATGATTAGTCTGTCCTTCAAATTATCTTGATAATCTAAGCTAGTAAATCTATTCAACTTAATGAGCAGTCAGCACGATGGAGTGTCCTCATCTAATTTAATACGTAAAGGATACTGAATTTATGCTAACAAACTTGTAATTACACAAATTTCTGAAGAACCAATGTTATTGTCTAAAAGTTGGTGAACCATTGATATTCTTCATTATTAAATTACCATCCGTTCTAATTACACGAGTCTTGCCTATTCAAAAATTACATTGACCTCTCCTGTCAGGAATTTTAGTCGGATGGCGTTAAGTGTAAATTTATAGTTTTACCATCAATAGTTCTTATTTTTTAAAGTTGAAAAGTGATGATGATAAATTTGTTGTTTCGTAATGTAGTTTTACTGACCTAAGCAGATTATGTCTTTGGTTTTGGAAATCATTAAAAAAGAGTAATTTCTAAATCATAGGTCTGCTCTTTGACTCAAGATCTTTAGAGTTCTGCTTTCCAATTTTAGTGAGTGTCTTTTGATTGTTTTCTGCTTCCCTTAATTTTGATTTAGTAATTGTTTGACTAACCCTTTGTTATACAAGTATATTCTGGTGGTTTGGCTTTGAATTCATTCTTCACATTTTGTGACAATGTGTAGTTTTTACGGGGTGATTTTTTTTAGGATCATTTATGAGAAATTCCATTTGCTGAAGAAAAGTAGTAGATGAATAGTCTCAATTCACCTTTGTGAACTTTAATAATTTTTTGAGTATTCGATGTTCAGGCATCATGGAGGTAGATGAGGAAAATTCTGTCTCAACCTCACTTGCAGAGCCTGCAGTTGCAGTCACTAATGGGCAGAATGTGGTATCTGCAATTGACCCAATTCCACCTCAACCGGTTCAAACTGTCATTACACCATTAATCACACCTGTAATTGTGCCTCCTATTGCCCCAATACCTATAGTTCCTTCCTCGATTCCCCGAGCTTTGGCACCTCTCCCTGTCCGTCCACCTATCCTTAGGCCACCCCCACCACAAAATGGCGAGGCTGGGGATGATGATACAGATTCTGACCATGACGACTCGGGCATCAATAGGACTGCTGCAGATTCAGCTGCAGAATATGAGATCTCAGAAGAGAGCAAACTGATCAAGGAGCAGCATGAGAAAGCCATGCAAGAACTTCTGATGAAGCGACGTGCTGCTGCTCTTGCGGTGCCTACTAATGACATGGCTGTGCGGGCTCGTCTCCAGAAGCTTGGTGAACCAATAACTCTCTTTGGAGAAAGGGAGATGGAAAGACGGGACCGTTTGCGGATGCTTATGGCAAAGCTGGATGCTGAAGGGCAATTGGAGAGGCTTATGAAAGCTCATGAGGAGGAGGAAGCTGCAGCTTCTGCAACAACAACAGAAGTAGCTGATGATGAAATGGTCCAGTATCCATTTTATACTGAAGGCTCACAAGCTCTTTTAGAAGCTCGATTAGACATTGCCAAGTATTCTATTGTGAGGGCAGCTTTACGTCTTCAGCGTGCTAGGAGGAAAAGGGATGATCCAGATGAAGATATGGATGCAGAGATTGATTGGGCTTTGAAGCAGGCAGGAAGCTTGGTCCTTGATTGCAGTGAAATTGGAGATGATCGGCCACTTTCAGGATGTTCCTTTTCACACGATGGAAAAATGCTTGCTACGTGGTACTCTCTCTCTCTCTCTCTCTCTCTCTCACTCTCACTCACTCACTCCTCCTCTGTAGATAGATACGAATCCACTTTGTCGCTCTATTCTATCTTTCCCCACTCCTCTTTACGAGTGATAGGAATTTGCAGTTATTATGGTTTAAAAAGAGTTTGTTACTAATTGCACTAACTGTCAGGGGTTGTATTCCTTTTTTTTTTCTTTTTTCTTTCGGGTTAGTGCTTTAAATGGAGTTGCCAAGTTATGGAGCATGCCTCAAGTCAAAAAGGTTTCTACTTTAAAGGGACACACAGAACGTGCAACTGATGTTGCATTTTCTCCTATAGATAACTTTATAGCAACTGCATCTGCTGATTGCACAGCAAGGTTATGGAACAGCGAAGGGTCTCTTCTAAGAACGTTTGAGGGCCATTTGGATCGTCTAGCTCGTATTGCCTTTCATCCATCAGGGAAGTACTTTGGCACTACCAGCTTTGACAAGACTTGGAGATTATGGGATATAGATACTGGTGTAGAGTTGCTTCTCCAAGAAGGTCACAGTAGAAGTATATATGGGTTATGTTTTCATTATGATGGATCTTTAGCAGCATCCTGTGGACTGGATGCACTTGCTCGTGTATGGGATCTTCGGTCTGGGAGAAGTATTCTTGCATTTGAAGGTCATGTCAAGCCGGTGGGACTCCATACTTTGTTACAATATCATTTTAAAAAATATATATATTCCTTGGGGAGTTGGAATGAAACTGTCCACTGAAATAATGTTAATGTGGTTTCTTTTTCAGGTTCTTGGTATTGATTTTTCTCCCAATGGCTATCATTTAGCCACTGGTGGTGAAGACAATACTTGTCGAATTTGGGATTTAAGGAAGAAGAAATCTTTGTACACCATACCTGCTCACTCGAATCTTATTTCTCAAGTCAAATTTGAGCCTCAAGAGGGCTATTTTCTGGTAACTGCTTCATATGATATGTCTGCTAAGGTAATAATTATCTCTGCTACCTTAACTGTATTCTAGAAATTGGATCTTTGAATATATCAGTGCATGTTGTTCAGGTGTAAGTCTTCTGTTTATCTGTGTCAGGTATGGTCATCCAGAGACTTTAAGCCTGTGAAGACGCTATCTGGTCATGAAGCAAAAGTAACATCATTAGACGTTGTAGGAGGTGAGTTTCTTTAGCTTTGAAGAACCCAAGTATGTCGTAAAAGTCTGATAGATGTGTTTGCATGTGTATGTATATGAGTTATTCTGTTTTAAATATTAACTACCATGTTTTACCATTTTATATGCTTATGAAGATACACCATAATTAACTACACCATAATTAATGTATTGAGGCCTGCTATGTTCAGTTTTAGGCATTGTTTCTGAAACAGAATAGTTGGCATGTTTAGAGTACCTTGATGTATTGCAATCTATCGCTTCATATTCCTACTTTGAGAATCGTGCTGTGTTTTCAATAAAAACTTCCTGTTACATGAAATATCTGCAATATACAATTCAATATCATATTTAATTTCCTAAATGGAATAATACTATATGAGAAAAACTTTTTTTGCCCATAGTAGGTGTTTTAATGTACCATGGATTTTGTCTTCATGGAGACAACCCATGCTAATGAGTGTTGTGTGCCAGTGTGTTTGTGTGTCATTTTCTTGATATGCTAAATTTAGGATATGTGGACATTTTTCTAGCGTTGTCCCCAAGAGTTGGGCTCATGTATGTAAAAAAAAGGTACATAAAGTGTGGGTATAAGTTGAAAATATTGTAATCTTGTAGGGATATATTACAAAATTCTCTCATCTAAGGGTTTAAGCCTTAAGGTAATTTACAGACATGATGACATTTAAAATTGTGAAAACATGTGCATTATGTGCACGACCTTTTGAAGCAAATATAGTGAACTTTGATTGAAAGAAGCGGGAAACCTTTCATTTTCTTACTCTTGAGGACATAGTTGAGAAGAAAACGTAGATTATTCCTATTCATCATTTGTTAAAATGACTTACTGAGAAATATATATATATATATATTAGACTGAAAGGAAAATTTTGTTTCTATTCAAGGAGTAATTCCTCTCCATCTTCGTCCAATTCCACATCTGGTGAAAACTGAACTTTACACTTTTACCTTACTTCCCTCTTCCTTACCCATATCCATTTTTTTTTCTTAGCCAGAGGTGGCTTTGCTTCTAAAATCGAGCTTTTTGCTCTTTAGAAGGTCTGAGGAAAGCATTTGAAATGATAATGGTTAATAAGTGGTACTGATGCCAAGTTCTTAATGTCTGTGATGCTGCTTGAAAACGTTGCATGGGGACACTAACACTAAATTGAAGTATTCATCAGGAAAAACCCCTAAATTAAAGTATTTTACATAATTAGAAAATATGACTTTTGTGCCAGAAACATTTCAAGAAACAGAATGAATAGTAGTAGAAGCAGCAACAGTAATAATGATATTAACTATTGGCATCTAGGCCAGTATGCACTCTATATGCAAAAATTTTGATTTGGGTGATCAAGTAGAAATGGTGATTATAACATGGATTCTTAATCCTTACGCTATGTTTTCCTGAATTTGTATGATTCAATATCCTTGCTTGTAAGTTCATTTTGTGCCTTTGAAATTGAATAAAAGCTTTTCCTTTTTGGAAAATAATGCCATAATCTTTCATCATCATTCAAAGCACAACAGTTGTCGACTATTTTCTTAACTTTGTTCAATAAAAAATGTTAATCTATAGACTCTCATCTTTTCTTGTACAAATCATCTCCATTTGAGTTTAGCAGTCCACTATCGTGATTAATTGTTATTTGGTCGCAGATGGACAGTATATTGCAACCGTTTCACATGATCGGACTATCAAGCTATGGTCAAGCAGAAACAATGGAAAGGAGAAGGCTATGGATATTGACTAAATTGCCCTTTGAATTTCTCATTAGCTTATATATTAGCTGGTTGTGCATCATCATGTCTTTTTATCTTCGACTAATTTTGCTTAGATGCCCAAACATACAGAATGCTCATTGGAACCTCCAAGTCTATACCGATGTTCACCGTCCTTCACAATGATAATGGTGGCTGTTTGAGCATCTTTCAGCTATAGTGCACTTGACCTTTACAATGATGATGGTGGTGTGATGCATCCATGCAAGAAAAACAAAAATTGCATCTTGAGTCAATGATTGACACAATGTAGCTGAATAGATCATTTTGACCAAATGTTTCGGATATTGATTTTTCTCGTATGAGGTTTCAGTTTGACTTTGTTACAAGAAGTTGTTGAGACCAACAGATTGTCAGCTGTTTTGAGAACTGCTTTATACTGGGTTTGATGGTATGGTATTTTGTGTGTGTGTGTGTGTGTGTGTTTTAAGGTTCTGTGAGTTTGGATATTAATGCATGATTAAAAGGGTAGCAAGTGTTGAGTTTAAACATTGATTTTGCCTAAAAACTTGTATTTGAACTTGAGCTCGAGTGAGCGACTGAGTTCGAGCTTAAACAGGTAAAATAATCAACTTGACTCGGCTTGATTCAACCCTAAATTTGATATATTAAAGAGACAGTTTTTCTAGAATTGCATATATCCATAGCAATTTATTTTTATGAACCACTGTTTGGTGTATTTAATACAAGCTGGTTGATAGAGCATTTTAAGAACCATCTAATACCCTTTGTGCAAATCACGAGCGTTTTTTTGCACTAGAGAGAACTATGCTCCGAAAAAAATTGGAAAAAAGGTATCAAACGCTGGGCACCTACTGCAAATGGACCAGGTTTTAAAATCTCAATTCTCGGTCAGAACCGAACCGAACTCAGAAGGTAGGCTCAGAAATAGGGAATAAAAGACCGGCCAGCCCTGGCCGGTATAAATTTAAGTCGATAAACCGAACCAACGACTAGAAGGCAGGCTGATGGGCAGTACTATAAACTCAAATTGCTTCTCTACCTATTAACTTTGGCTAGAAGATTATTCAGACCCTTCATGAATATAGAGAGACTGTTACATACCCAAGAAAATACAAAGGCACACTAAAAATCTGATGTCAATTACCACTTGCTTTATTAAGATACAAAAACAACTAGATTCAAATGGCAAAATAAGAAGGAAAAAAAAAAAGACAAAATGTTTAGATCATTGGAGAAACTGTGCTCGATCACTAACATAATGTGTGGTAGCCAAGCGTCAATTCCGCGACTTAAAATCTTCCAGGACAATACCTGCAGCATTACGCCCCGGCCCCCCCATCACACCACCTCCAGGATGGGTGCCACTACCGCATAAATACAATCCCGTTAGCCAACACCTATAACTTGACCTGCATTCCAAAATTGAAATAAAAACAAAGGGAAAGTAGTACAGCAGCCAAGATACGAGACTAGAAGTGGAAAAAATCGTTCAAAAATTTTTCTAACAGAACATTTATATGTTGTGAGAAGTACCATCCTTTCACAGGTCGCAAGAGGAACAGAGAATCTAATCTCATAGCGCCATGAAAGATATTCCCACCTGTCGAAAAAAATTCAGGGTTATCCAACTTTCGCAAATTGAACGGCCAGTAGACCTGTTAGTTCCTAGAGAATACTAAGCTTCATAGGGCTAGCAAGGTGCGAAGTCCTGCAAACATCATTTCTCTCTTGTCCAATCTATTATTCGGAGGCAGGTGTACTTCACAAATATAAACACTGCAGCAACTTCTAAACAAGGAATTTCAAAGTGAAAGACATCATTCGAAGATCTTCCATATGCCCTCGTTGTTTTGAGAATCCAGCCTAGACAAAATAAACTCAAACTGGGATATAATTGAGTGCATATGTACTGAAACTATCTTCCATATTTTGGAAGAAATTAACAAAATCCCGGGAAACCTAAATTCTTAAAAGTTGTAGATATGTGCTTTTCACAACACACACACACACACACTTTAAATTCTTAAAAGTTGTAGATATGTGCTTTTCACAACACACACACACACTTTTTTCAGTAACACCAAAAACAATAGGAACCACCATAAGATTGATAGGTCCTAAACATTTCCTACATTGACATGGCAAAATCTTTGATGCCAACTAAAAGGATATTGGCAACCCAACTTGCCACGGTAAATTGACCCCAATTATTGATACACATTTCATACTCGGATATCATATAAACCTATATAGATACAATGAGAATATAGTTGCATCATTTGAAAAAGGAAATCTCCTGCCCTGCTCCCCTCTGTTTTTCCTTTAAATTGCTGAGAAATTGTTACATGGTCCCGGCCAATAACAGACTGCCACACAGGGACGGAACCATTCACAAGTCAGTCTGATTTTAATTTTTTTTAGTAATATACCTTATTAATTTACATTTTTGATATATATACCTACAAAATTACACTACCACCCCCATTGGAATTATTATAAAATTACAATATTGCAACCCCCCCTCCGGCGCGCACAATTTTCTGGCTCCGTCCCTGCTGCCATACAAGTAAATGTGTCAGCTTTATTAATTTTTTTGCTTGCATGGCAGTCTATTATTGGCCGGGACAATGTAATAATTTCTCTTAAATTGCTAGTGCCTTTCAAAGGTTGACTGTTCAGTTCCAATCATATGCAAAGGCATGACACTAGAAAGTACAGATAATACCTGTCAGACTAAATTCCCTTTCAAGGTCCGGTGGAGTCAACATGTCATAGCCAATAATTGACGAGCTGAAGCCAGGGGCATACTCATCAATCAGCGTAAAACATCTTTGGGCGAATGATTCCTACAAAAAGTCCATCTATTAGTCATCAATTGTTTGGTTCCAAAGAGCAAAGTTGTGGTGCCTGCACAATTATATAATTTATGATATTTTCAAGAATGGATTTAGTGTAAGCTCCACAAAAAAACTGCTAATAAGTATCGAGTTAGCAATAACCAACTGCAAAATCTAAATGCTTCATATACTACCCAAGCTTCGGAGTACACTCTAAAAACCCACTCACTCTGTAAGAAGGATCTTCCCAGCTGCCATCGGAGGGTTTGTAGGGTGTGTATTGAATGAATAAGTTGATCACGTGCTTACCTGGGAAAAAGAATACTCATAGATAAAGCTTAGTAGACCATTACAGTTTAAAACTAGTGTCTATATGGAGATTCAGTGGGCAAATAGAAAAGAAAAAGAACAGTGAGTTTAACTAAAAGAAAAAAATAAAGGTAATATATAAGGAACATTGAGCAAGCAAAAATGACATCGGGATAGAACTTACGATTCTCTCAAGTCACATTTAGCATAAAGCTAACCTACGATCATTTCACAATGAGCAGATACCATGTCCATGAGTCCCATGTGATATAGTCAGCAATGATGTAAAATGAGCGTCTTCCAGGGTTAAATTAAGTAGAAACAACTTAAATTGGCCTCAAGTCACCTTATTTTCTCCAGTAACTAATATTTTTAGTTCCATTTTCTAAATGCAAAAACAAAGTTCTATAATTCCTCATAATCCTTTGTTCCTTATAAATGTGAAGAAATATAGAATAAAGAAATTATAGCCTATTAAGTATGTCAATGTCCCATGAGAGATCACACATCATGAAGACATCAAAAAATTAATTTTTTGACTACTGGGTGGAAAATAGTCTTATCCAAGATAGAGAGAAGGAAATGTCATCTTGATTACAGGTTTTTGTGATGTCAAACAAGATTTCAGCATGAGAGTATAACATCAGAATTGCAACACTCATATTATTCCTTTTCCTGAATGCAAAATCAGAGTTCCTTCAAAATGTCAGAAAATATTGAAGAAAGATGCTAGAAATAAAGAATAAAAAATCTAGCCTAATAAAGTATATCAGTTTCCATGACACAAAAAGAAAGACATTTTGAGTACCAGGTGGAGAAATAGTCTTGTCCAAAACAGAAGGAATTGTCATCTCGATGATAGGTCTTCGTGATGGTAAGCCATTTACAGCATCTTGACATGCTGAGTCAATCTCTTCCATACTGAAGTGAGCGAAATGCATGTATGAGAAGGTATAGGATGTCATCAATTTTGAATGCCAGGAATACAGGCCAAGGTAACTTACACGAAACCAAGAATAAAAGTAAGGAAGTATTAGTGTATTAGACAAGTAAGATAATTGGGACTACTACTTGGTGCAATAGTAAAAAATCAGTCTGCTAAGTTTGAGAACATTTGAGCCACCAATTTATGAAAATAATGACGAAGTTTAGGTCTGTACAGCCAAGCCTCCCATATCCACAGTTAGGGTAGCAACATCGGATAATGGTCTTTAACAAATGATATAATTCAGCACTTGGGGTTTCTTTCCACCATATATCATTTCTATACAAAAGTCCCAAATGAAATCCACTAATGCTAATAAACAATTTATGATCACAAGATTTAGTGAGATAGGATAGCTTGAATGCTAGGGGAAAAACTATCACCAACAGGTAACAATATCGTCATCTGAGCCATTTCCTAAACAGTTTTATTTGGGCTACAATCCATTCTGCTATGCCTTTCAATGGTTTCACCCTGACTTGAAACTGGAATAGAATTGATATTCTAATCTATTTGTTCACCTGACAAAACCTCCCTTTCCAAAATCTAATTCTAGAATTAACTAATGGAAACTAGTTTTAGAAGCTGATATGAAGCATAGCGCGACCACATGTAGCAACACCATCTTCTGAACTAAATTAGACCAATTCTACAATCTCTCTCTCCCCAGTTGAGATTTGAGATAACTGGCACCAGAATCAGAGAAAAGCTTTTTGCCCAGCATCAACTAGACAATTTTCTGGGTAGATTTGGCTTGTTAATGCTTCCAGGCCAGAAGTACACCAGTAGAATAAATGAACTCTAAAACCAACACAGTGATAATCGGGGGAACCAAAAAGCATACCTCTCAGAACCAATGTGAATTGTACCGACATGTTGAGGACCAACATCAGGATGTCTCAACTTGCAACACCGGAACTGAGGCAATGCATCAACAGCTAAGTTCATTTTAGTAGTTCCCTGTTGATTAAATAAATTCACAAAAACTCAGATAAATCCAAGTAAACTCCAATTCAGGAACTAATCTAAGGACGAAGAATAATAGGAAAGAAGTCCACCAAACATTCCCAACTTTTGTCTGGGTTTCAGTAGGCAAAGATTGGCAGAGAACTACAACTCACAGTAGGCATGAAATAAAACTACCGTTCATGAAATACTACACTTTTGAAAAACTGAAGTTTATCTACACTGCAACTTAAGAAGCTTGAACACGTATTGACAATTCCTTTCTAGATCAGCAAACTTCTATATATTTCCATTCAGGGACCAAAATTTAGTTTGAAGTAAAGTAAAATCTTTGCAACTAGTTTTGAACACACCAACACAGATTTTATGCAAGTCTATAAGACCTATTCTCCAGATTTAATTATCATAAACTCCATTTAGTTTGATCCTGTTGGAAAGTCACAGTTTTTCTATTATAGGAAAACCGGGACAGCTGTAAATTAGTGGGAAAATCTTTGAATTTGTAATTAGTTGGAAACTAATCCTCATTTAGCTAGTATCCTGATTTAGTTAGGAAAATCCCATATTTTATGGGATTCAAATTTTATTCTTTTTCTGATTGTACAGATTGTATTTGGCTATATATGGCCAACTCTCCGTGATGTATTTTATTCATTCCCAAGAATAATAATTTCAATTCTCGCTTACATGGTATCAGAACTTTAGGCTCTCTTCCTGGGAATCAATCTTTTTGTAAAAGGGCGAACCAATGATGTCAGATTCTTCTGGAACAACTGGTCAATCCGAGGAGACGACTACCCATCAGGCCATGGGTGAGTTGCAGAACATTCAAGCCGCATATCAACTGAATGGTAAGAACTATCTGAAATGGTCCCAATTTGTTCGAACTTTTCTCAAAGGGAAAGGGAAACTTAGCCATCTCCTTGGAACTGGACCCGACACCAAAGACCCCAAATTTGCCGCTTGGGACGAGACAGACTCCATGTTCATGTCTTGGTTTTGGAGTGCAATGGTGCCAGAAATAACACCTGCATGTTTCTCACCACAACCAAAGATATATGGGAGGCAATCCAATAGACGTACTCCAAGGTGAATGATTCGGCGCAAATCTACGAGATCAAGACTAAACTCACAGCCACTAAACAAGGTAATCTCTCGGTCACTGAATATGCCAACTTGTTAAAGAATTTGTGGCAAGAGATGGATTACTATAGAAGTATCAAAATGAAAGATAGTGAGGATGCTGCTATTCTTAAGAATTTTATTGAGAAGGATAGAACATATGACTTTCTGGCGGGACTCAATATCGAATTTGATCAAGTAAGAGTGCAGATTTTTGGAAAAGAGGAATTAACGTCTCTGAACGAGACTATTGCAATCGTTCGTGCTGAGGAAAGTCGAAGAGGAGTAATGGTTATTACTCAACCATTGGAAGGCTCGGCTTTAACTACAACAGACCCGAAGGAACCAACTCCAAAAAAACCATTCACTGCCAACACCGAAAGCAGACGTCCAGATCTAAGAAATGGGAATAGGACAAATCTTGTATGCAACTATTGCAGGAAGCCAGGACACACTAAGGAGCAGTGTTGGAAGCTTCACGGGAGACCACAAGGCTCTGCCCGAAATGGTGGAGGATCAACGAACTGGCAATGGAAAGGGCAGGCCAATCTGACACAAGCTAATGATGATGGTTCCAGTAATCGAGAAAATTCCAGTGGCAATGAATTCAACAAAGACGATATAGAACGGCTTAAATCCTTGCTGAACTCTCTGGAAAAACCATCAGGTAAGTGTTCATTTGCACCTTCAGGTATGTTTTCTTCTTCTCATGCCCTTAGCGCCTTAGATCACAACCACTTTGGCTCCTGGATCATTGATTCAGGAGCAACCGACCACATGACACATTTGTCCCACATGTTTTCCACATACAGCCCATGTTCTAGTAGTAGAAAAATCATAGTGGCTGATGGTTCTTATGCTACTGTAGCAAGTCAAGGAAATATTCACCTAAGTTCTTCATTGATTTTAAAAAATGTCTTACAAGTTCCAAAGCTTACCACAAACCTTGTCTCTGTTCAGCATCTCACAGAAGACCTAAACTGCAATCTAATCTTTTTACCTACTACATGTGTTTTTCAGGATCGAGTTTCGGGGAGGACGATTGGGCATGCTAAGGAAAGCAGTGGCCTCTACTACCTGGATTTGCCAAATAAAACTGTGAACAATAAGGTCAATTCATCACTTTCTTTGCTGTCCGATACCAAGTCATCAATAAAAAACCAAATTTGGCTCTACCATTTACAGTATGGGCATCCTTCCTTTAGAGTTTTGAGTGTCATGTTTCCCTCCTTGTTCAGGGGTGTTGATATTAGTCAACTTCATTGTGACACGTGTTCCATTTCCTATGAGTAATAAAAGATCTTCATTACCTTTTTATTCAATTCATAGTGATATTTAGGGTCTCTCAAGAATCGCAAATATTTCAGGGGCTAGATGGTTTGTCGCTTTTATTGACAATTGTACTCGTGTCATGTGGGTTTTTTTGATGAAACAAAAATCTGATATGTGTACGCTTTTTCCAATTTTTCATGACATGATAAAAAATCAATTTGGGGTTAAAAAAAAAAAAAAAAGATTTAACAATGCAAAAGAATATTTTAATCAAGTTTTATCTCCTTACTTTCAAAAGGAAGGGATTATACATGAATCCTCTTGTATTGATACACCCCAACAAAATGGAGTGGCAGAAAGGAAAAATAGTCATCTCTTATCAACAACCCGAGCACTGCTATTCCAAACAAAAGTTCCAAAATATTTATGGGGGAAAGCTGTCCTTACATCCACTCACTTGATAAACCGTACTCCATCCTGAATTTTTGACTTTAAAAGTCCCTAGGAAGTGTTATCAAATTTTTTTCCAGATTTTACCTCTCACAACCAATTGGCTCCTCGGGTATTTGGGTGTGTTGAGTTTGTTCATATTCATTCCAAGAGTCATAGCAAACTTGATCCTCGAGCACTCGAGTGTGTCTTCATAAGGTACTCCTCAACGCAAAAAGGATACAAATGTTATCATCCACCGTCACGTAAAACCTTCATTTCCGCTAATGTTACCTTTGTTGAAAATGAGAATTTTTTTCACCCTTATTTTCCAGAGGAGACTTCTACTAGGGAAGATAAGGATTTTAGTGATCTTGGATTTCTCATGGACCTTCCTGCTCAAAACAGCCACCCCATAACCTCACCTAATTTGCTACCTACTGAATCACCTGATCCGCTACTCGAACAGCCTCAACCTGAAACACCAAAACAACCACGTGATCCCGAGACTCCAAGACAACCTGAAAATCTGATGGAACCTGTTGTCACTACACCATTGCGGCAATATTCAAGGAAAAGAGGTCCCACTGCAAAACTGAAGCAGGCCCAAGTGTCCAAGCCAATTCTCAAGAATGAGGTAAATACAGAGGTTTGTATAACAAATGTCCCAGTTCTTCCTACTCTTGATTTATCCTCTGAAGTAATTGAAAAAAATGACTTGCACCTACCCATTGCAGTAAGGAAAGGCACTCGAAATTGCACACAACACCCTTTGTCTCATTTTGTGTCATTTGAAAAATTGTCATCTTCACATAGAAGTTTTCTCACCCACCTAAACTCTATAACCATACCACAAACACTGTCTGAGGCTCTAGGGAAGGAAGAATTGAAACAGGCTATGAAAGTGGAAATGGATGCGTTTAAGCAGAACAAGACGTGGGAGTTAGTAGAGAGGAAAGAAGCCAGTTGGATGCAAGTGGGTGTTCTCGGTGAAGTACAAGGCAGATGGATTGTTGGAACGGTATAAGGCCAGATAAGTTGCGAAAGGTTATACACAAACCTATGGAGTTGATTATCAGGAAACATTCGCACCAGTGGCTAAGATGAATACAGTGAGGATATTGTTGTCTTTGGCAGCCAACCTGGATTGGAGCTTACATCAATTCGACGTAAAAAAATGCTTTCCTACATGGGGATCTTGAAGAAGAAATTTATATGGAGAAGCCCCCACGATTTGGTGTTGACACTAGAGGGGAGAAACTATGTAAGCTCAAGAAAGCATTGTATGGATTAAAGCAGTCACCAAGAGCATGGTTTGGGAGATTTGCAGAGGCAATGCAAGGAATGGGCTACAAACAAAGTCAAGGTGATCACACGCTATTCGTAAAGCACTCGAAACTCAGGGGGAGTAACCGCCTTGCTGGTATATGTGGATGATATCATCGTCACTGAAAACGACATAAGAGAAAAGGAAGCACTTAAGAGACGCCTTGCAGAGGAATTTGAAATAAAGGATTTGGGAGGCCTAAAATATTTCTTGGGCATAGAGGTTGCTCGGTCAAGGGGAGGAATATTCATCTCACAACAAAAGTACATGTTAGACCTTCTCAAGGAAACTGGAAAAACAGGGTGCAAACCAGCCGAAATGCCAATAGAAGCCAATCATAAGTTAGGTGAGGGTACAAAGGAAGAATCAGTGGATAAATGAATGTATCAACGCCTGGTGGGAAGACTGATTTATTTGTCCCATACTAGGCCTAACATAGCATATGCAGTTAGCGTGGTGAGCCAGTTTATGCATAATCCTAAGGAAATACATCTTCAAGTTGTATACCGGATACTATACTTAAAAGCTAGTCCAGGCAAGGGAATTTTATTCAAGAAAGGGACGAGCTTGAACTTAGAGGCATATACAGATGCGGATTTTGCTAGATCAATGGTTGATAGAAGATCGACATCGGGCTATTGCATGTTTCTGGGAGGAAATATAGTGACATGGAGGAGTAAAAAACAACCAATGGTGGCCAGGTCAAGTGCAAAAGCGGAGTTTCGAGCAACGGCACTAGGAATTTGTGAACTTTTATGGCTCAAGATAATTCTGGAGGATCTCAGAATCACGTGGGAAGGACCAATGAAGCTATATTGTGACAATAAGTCGGCTATCAACATTGCTCACAATCCAATACAACACGATCAAACAAAACATGTGGAAGTGGATCGGCACTTTATAAAGGAAAAACTTGATAGCGGTTTAATTTGCACTCCATATATCTCAACAGCAGGTCAACTCGCAGATGTTCTAACGAAAGGACTGCCCGGACATGCATTTCAGAAACTCATTAGCAAGCTAGGAATGGAGAACATTTATTCACCAGCTTGAGGGGGAGTGTTAGAAAGTCACAGTTTTCTATTCATAGGAAAACCGGGACAGCTGTAAATTAGTGGGAAAATCTTTGACTTTGTAATTAGTTAGAAACTAATCCTCATTTAGCTAGTATCCTGATTTAGTTAGGAAAATCCCATATTTTATAGGATTCAAATTTTATTCTTTTTCTGATTGTACAGATTATATTTGGCTATATATGGCCAACTTTCCGTGATGTATTTTATTTATTCCCAAGAATAATAATTTCAGTTCTTGCTTGCAGATCCACATAATGCAAGACTCTTGAGTAGGGCCTCTCACCAGCACTAGTTAGAACTGCTACCATCTACAACATATCGAAGTACTAATGAAGGGGAAAACCGCCCCTGATTTCCCTTGTGAAAAATATAATCCATCCTTTTAAAGAATACATTAGCACACCAAATTGAATAATTTAATAAAATCATTGGATTTCCAAAGTTGTTTATAAACATATATTCAAGTTCAGAGTGGAATCGAGAAGTATAGGGCACACTTGTTAAATTAGAATGGGAATAACCTTTCTGCGAGAGGATTTCAAAATGATATTAGTCCTTTTTTAATAAAACAGAAAGAAAGTTCAACTGTCTATCAGACATAGAGTGTAAGGGATTCATGTATTTAACGGTGTGACATAGCTATCCCATTGCCATTACCCAAGCTATAAAAATTTATGTCAAACCATTTTGATGGTTGGCACCATGCGTGATGACACTAGTGAGTTTTCCATAAACGTAGGATTGCACCAAGAATCAGTGCTAAGCCTGTATTTATTTGATAATGCACCATGAGTTTTCCATAAGCCCATATTCATTGATAATGTAATGATAACACTTCAAAACCAAAAAACTACTTAAAACAACCACTTTCGTTATCTAGGACCGATAATACAAAAGGATAGAGATAGATAGTGATATAACTAGTAGGATTGGATCCGGTTCGACGGAATAGAAACAAGCTAGTGGAATTTTATGTGATAAAAGAATAACATATAGGCTAAAATAAAATTCCCGTCTACTTGTTCCCTTGCTTCAGAAATGTATTGGTTTGGAGCATTTTCCCATTTGGGAAATGATACAAAGAGAAAAGGCAAGTATAAGACCATTATTAGACCAGCTATGTTGTATAGAGCGGAGTTTTGGGCCTTAAAAAAGAAACAAGAACAATGCCTTCATGTAACAAAAATAAGAATATTAAGATGGATGAGTGGAGTGACTAGAAGAGAGAGAGTCACTATGAAAGTGTGAGCGGAAAATTAGGTGTAGCACCCATTGGTGAGAAAATTATAGAGAGTAGACTTAGATGGTTTGGACACATACATCGGAGATCTAGAAACACGCCGGTCAAACAAGGAAGACTAGTTGTAAGAGACAGAGAGGGTGACCTAAAATAACATGGACAAGGTTATTATTAAAAATAACTTTAAAAAATTAGATATAGTAGGTGAAGTGGCATGTAATAAAAAAGGTTGGAGAGAGAGAATTCATGTGGCCGACCCCGTTCATATGGGATTAAGGCAAGGATGATGACGATGATGATAAACTACACATTGGTTTTCAGTGACTAGTTCAGAATACTACAAGCAGAATTAAAGCAATTTGAATAAAACAATCTGCTAAAGGCAATGCAACATCTAATGCATGTTATTATTATTAATAAATCTTAAGGATTAAATCTAGAATTGGTTCTCTATTCAATGTGATCCATACGTAATAGGTGCTAAGGTGCCCCAATATTTATGGAGTTTAACGTTGTAAAAGAAGCTGTTCCCAATTCACTGTGCTAAACAAAGCCGTTAAGAATATTCCAGTCACTTACTATATAAACTCCTGTTTCAACACATCTTTTGACTTTATGAGTAATATTTTAAGAAAACTTACAGAGTCGTAGTTCAAATTTTCAAATGTATGGGGAATAAAATCAGGAAGACCACCTTTAGGCACTAATTCCTGCATCAGAAAAGCAAAACTCATGATAAAATAAAATAAAATATATCCAATTATAAGAACAAGTTGAAAGGCTTAACTCCTATATGCCTTTTCCTATTTTATTGTCATAACAAACTTGCCTATTCTTACAAGCCCAGTAAGTAGGAGCAGCCAGCTTACCAAAGTTCTGTCAGGCGTTGCGTTTGACAGAACAACTGAAGAATGTACCCGTGTCCCGTCAGCCAACAAAACCTAAATAATTCCATCCATGTACACAAAATCTGAATTATTATATACAAGCATGAAAACGTACTTTACTGAAAGAATCAATGTAGCAAAACGAACCCCATTTACTTTGCGGGAGTTGACAATCAGCAATTGCGAAACCTAGCAAATGAAATAAATTCTCATTGGTAGCAAGAAAAACACCAAAGCATGAACCTAGGCAATTAAATCTAGGCAATTAAATCAACTATCTTAAAAAAACACCAAAGCATGAACCTCTTTTATTTCTTTTATTGAGATTAATGAAAAAGACCAATCAGAAAAACCATATTGCCGCTGAATTCAATATCCACATCAGTTTCCCATTTCAATTATAAGACAAAAAAATTGTAGACAAATACTTCCTGAGTCTACATAAAACAGTATAAACATAAGAATAAGTAATAGCAGAGCACATGATAAGTTTGAAAGAAAATCCTCGCACAATGAAATTCATAAAATTATTGGATTCCACAGAAAATCTTTTGAACCCAAATTACTCAAACGTAATAGTGGCTAAGAGATTTCCAATTGCGAAAGAGCAAAACTAATTGCAAATTCAAGAGCATGAACAACAAAACAAGCATAATATCAAACCAGCTAGGGAGGGAGAGAGAGAGAGAAAGGAGGGGGGGGGGGGGGGGGGGGGGGGGGTGGGGTGGGGGGTGGTGTTGGTTGAAGAAGAATAGAAAGGCTCATAAATTTAAAACAAGCTCATTAAATATATTTTTCCATTGGAAAAAGAATAATACTTATGAATCTTAACGAAATATCTGTCTTTTGTTTGAAAGGTAGCTATTGAGGAATACCCTAGGCTCTAATAGGGGGTGAGTAGGTCTCAAAAACTAAATAACTAGGTTTAACCAAAATAAATCAAATTATAACGAATCTAAGCAAGTAAAAATAGGCATAGCTCAGAAAATACAAGGCAGAATAAGTGCCAAGTTTAACCAAAATAAATCAAATTATAACAAATTGAAGCAAGTAAAAATAGGCATAGTGCAGAAATTATAAAGCAGAAAAAGTACAAATAAAATAATGCCAAATTTTTATGCGGAAAACCTCAAAGGAAAGAAAACACGGGAGTGACGGGACTTAGTCCAGGCAAATCAAAGTCACTATTAAGTGAAGGTTTACAAACCTAGGTCTCATATTCTAACCATAAAATCATCTAGTTACCCCTAACCTAAACTCACGTCAGATGAACTCTGTTGTTTCCAGTCAATGAACTACTCACACGATCCGCTCTTTAATATGTGCTTTGATCTCCTGAATGGCAGTCCAATTTTTGGTGGTTGTGTGGATTTTGTTGTGGTGTTGAAATCCTTGGAACTCTTTGATTTGCGTCTTTAACACTACAAGTCGTTCACCATCTATATGCATGGTAATGAATGAAAGGAAAAAAAAATCTAGCAATGTAGATGCACTCAGATATGATTTTCAATGTCATAGAATGCTAAGTATTTGTCTACGGGATGCGTTCCCCTTTTGAACGCTCTCTAATACATTTTTACTTATCAAAAAAAAAAGAATGCTCTATGTATGCTTGCCTAGTTTTTGTTAATAATTATGGTCAAGAACTCTGACGCAAGGAAGGATTAGGGTTTAAGTGATTAAAACTTAAAAATAAAAAATAAAAAGAAAAAATAAAAACTCTTCCGCAGACTTTAAATCATCAAGACATACGTCTGATCAATTGAGCCTAGTCAAGTGAGCTTCACTAGATCGAGAAATTGATCGAATTTCCATATCATAGTTCCTTTAGGATTTTAATTGAATGGAAACAAATTAATGAAATCTAAAACGCAATTTAGAAATCAAAACATGCAGATTTCCCTAACATGTTTAATCATACATACGAAAACTAATTTGTGGAGCGCACAATTCTGAGAATCGAATTTATCTTTTTCCCCTTGTCAACATTCAGTCTTATGAAAACATAAAGAAAAACTGAAAATGACATTACAGACTCCGATTTGTACAAAATTTATCAGCCTAAGTCCTATTGATCTAACAGCTACAAGCCAATGAGCTATAATGTTGAGACTCGCTCCTTTTATTGAACATTACCAACATGAAATTCAATTAGTTCCGAACTTTCTTTTTTGAACTAAGTGAAAAAAATATCACTTTCACATGAAATTCAGCCGTCTTACTCTCTATTTCCCGAAGGGAGCAAAAATACAATTTCACTATAAAATCACAGGACCGATTTTCCATTACAAGATCCTGATAGATACCAAAATTCATCTAAGGATTGACATAGGGTTCCCGAGCTGAAACCTAAGTGAAAGCTTACCATGCTCCCTCTAAAGAAATTATTATTACCCAAAACTGGATGCTAATTTAGTTCCTCCATTTACATTGTGATATCTAATCTATTTTAGTTCAATCCAAAAACTACTGTTGATCACTTTATTACCAGCATGTCGCCCTAGTGGCTTAGTATAACATTTTAGCTGAAACCTGAACGAAAGCTAACCATGCCCCCTCTGAAGAAATTATTATTAGTTCAACCCCCAAAATTGTATGCTAGTTCAGTTCCTCCATTTTACATTGTGATATCTAATCTCTTTTAGGTCAATCCAAATTTTTTTGGCCAAAAGGAAAAAAGAAGACATGAAGGTCAAACCCTCTTGTCCAAATTGCTGAATCTTGTGGCATTTTTTTATTAGAAAGCCCAATGTTCACTAAGCTTTAGCTTGTTCTACTAGGAATGTTCACTAAGCTCTAGCTTGCTTTACTAGGAACGTTCACTAAGCTCTAGCTTGCCCTACTAGGAAGTGACTGAACTTAGCAATGCTATTGGGACCCAAGATCACCTGGTAATTTGCTTAAGTTTATACAAAAAAAAAAAAAAAGAAAAAAAAAAAAAATCACCAAGAGACAAGAAATACCTATTTGAAGGTCAAACCTGTGTTGTAAATTGCAGAAGTGATAAGTTAGATGACCACAGTACCCAAGCTCCATTAAGAAGAAACTTGACTGAGCCACGACACACTTGCATAACCAAAACAGGAATTCGATTATGAAAAGAAACATGCTTCAGACTTTTTACAATTAGGAAAGTTTTTAAACTTTTAATCACAACAAAACTGTAAAAAAAGTCCGGTTTCTTGCCCACTTTTATCCATCAGAATCTTAACAACAAACCTTCCTCTGAATTTTAAAAAACTTTGATTCTTCCAGATTTATTTATTTATTTTTCCTAGTTGGGATTCACACACACTGCCTCCGCTGAGGTTCGAACCAAGTGTGTCGTGGTTGAAGAAGAATAGAAAGGCTCATAAATTTAAAACAAGCTCATTAAATATATTTTTCCATTGGAAAAAGAATAATACTTATGAATCTTAACGAAATATCCGTCTTTTGTTTGAAAGGTAGCTATTGAGGAATACCCTAGGCTCTAATAGGGGGTGAGTAGGTCTCAAAAACTAAATAACTAGGTTTAACCAAAATAAATCAAATTATAACGAATCTAAGCAAGTAAAAATAGGCATAGCTCAGAAAATACAAGGCAGAATAAGTGCCAAGTTTAACCAAAATAAATCAAATTATAACAAATTGAAGCAAGTAAAAATAGGCATAGTGCAGAAATTATAAAGCAGAAAAAGTACAAATAAAATAATGCCAAATTTTTATGCGGAAAACCTCAAAGGAAAGAAAACACGGGAGTGACGGGACTTAGTCCAGGCAAATCAAAGTCACTATTAAGTGAAGGTTTACAAACCTAGGTCTCATATTCTAACCGTAAAATCATCTAGTTACCCCTAACCTAAACTCACGTCAGATGAACTCTGTTGTTTCCAGTCAATGAACTACTCACACGATCCGCTCTTTAATATGTGCTTTGATCTCCTGAATGGCAGTCCAATTTTTGGTGGTTGTGTGGATTTTGTTGTGGTGTTGAAATCCTTGGAACTCTTTGATTTGCGTCTTTAACACTACAAGTCGTTCACCATCTATATGCATGGTAATGAATGAAAGGAAAAAAAAATCTAGCAATGTAGATGCACTCAGATATGATTTTCAATGTCATAGAATGCTAAGTATTTGTCTACGGGATGCGTTCCCCTTTTGAACGCTCTCTAATACATTTTTACTTATCAAAAAAAAAAGAATGCTCTATGTATGCTTGCCTAGTTTTTGTTAATAATTATGGTCAAGAACTCTGACGCAAGGAAGGATTAGGGTTTAAGTGATTAAAACTTAAAAATAAAAAATAAAAAGAAAAAATAAAAACTCTTCCGCAGACTTTAAATCATCAAGACATACGTCTGATCAATTGAGCCTAGTCAAGTGAGCTTCACTAGATCGAGAAATTGATCGAATTTCCATATCATAGTTCCTTTAGGATTTTAATTGAATGGAAACAAATTAATGAAATCTAAAACGCAATTTAGAAATCAAAACATGCAGATTTCCCTAACATGTTTAATCATACATACGAAAACTAATTTGTGGAGCGCACAATTCTGAGAATCGAATTTATCTTTTTCCCCTTGTCAACATTCAGTCTTATGAAAACATAAAGAAAAACTGAAAATGACATTACAGACTCCGATTTGTACAAAATTTATCAGCCTAAGTCCTATTGATCTATCAGCTACAAGCCAATGAGCTATAATGTTGAGACTCGCTCCTTTTATTGAACATTACCAACATGAAATTCAATTAGTTCCGAACTTTCTTTTTTGAACTAAGTGAAAAAAATATCACTTTCACTTGAAATTCAGCCGTCTTACTCTCTATTTCCCGAAGGGAGCAAAAATACAATTTCACTATAAAATCACAGGACCGATTTTCCATTACAAGATCCTGATAGATACCAAAATTCTTCTAAGGATTGACATAGGGTTCCCGAGCTGAAACCTAAGTGAAAGCTTACCATGCTCCCTCTAAAGAAATTATTATTACCCAAAACTGGATGCTAATTTAGTTCCTCCATTTACATTGTGATATCTAATCTATTTTAGTTCAATCCAAAAACTACTGTTGATCACTTTATTACCAGCATGTCGCCCTAGTGGCTTAGTATAACATTTTAGCTGAAACCTGAACGAAAGCTAACCATGCCCCCTCTGAAGAAATTATTATTAGTTCAACCCCCAAAATTGTATGCT